GAATTCCAAAGGGTTAAAAAAATTAGACTGCAAAACTGCAGCACATGATGCATTGCTGTTCACAACAACACAATAATCATTTGTTATAATTCTTGATGTGAGTCGGCCATAAGTATGCAAAAACTGATGTTTAAACATGGACCATCAGCTTTCTGTCCTCTGTTTTGTGTCTTTTTCAGGAATCCGGGTGCCTGCATGAGTCTTTAATCATATTTTTGTTCCCTCTTTAAGGCTCCTCGGAGCGCAGCAAACAGTGACAGGCCTTGCTGTTCGTTCCCTTGTGTCGTGTGAAGCTGCAGGCGATCTGTCTTTTAAATCTGCCTGGTGCGTCTGCAGTTCAGTGCCTACTGCCTGAACATGTGTGTGTATGTATGTGTGTGTATATATACAGTTCAAACATGTCTAAGATCACTAGATCAGGCTGGATTTACTGTACCAAAGCAGGAGAACATACAAGGGTCAGTTAAACACGATGACAAAGATGTCCAGTGGATAATAGACTGTAATAGACTTTAAGCCGCAACACATAGAATACGGTATTTTGGTTAATCCACTATACAAACATGAAGCAGATTTCAGAAATTTTTAGTGGTTTTATTGTTAATGGGTTGCATTTTCAACTATGAAAGGTAGCACAGAAAATGTAGAGTTGTATGAGATATTTTATTTAAGATTGATAAAAATGTTGTTTTATTTATATTTTGTGCATTTTTAGATATTTACCTTTTCTACGTAAAATGAGTCATTTTTAGACAGCATTCAGACAATTACTACATGTGCAATTGTTATATTCTCACAATACCTGCAATAGCTAATGCATAATTTCAGTTACACTTTAAGGTTATCTTGTTACTGTCTAACTATTTACTTACATTTAATAAGTTACATGTACTTACTCCAGCGTTAGTGTTAAAATGCAGTGCAGCTTTGGGGTTAGTTGCATGTAATTAATTGCATAACTAATTAATGTATTTACAATTTTTCCCAGTACTGAGTTGCAGCTGGAAGGGTATCTGCTGTGTAAAACATATACAAGATAAGTTGGCGGTTCATTCCGCTGTGGCGACCCCTGATAAATAAAGCAACCACACTATTTACATTTGCACAACAGTTAATGCATCTCTCAAAACAATTAGTCATTTGTGCACATCATAGTAGCAGTTTCTTATTCCTTCCAACAAATTGCAAATGCTTTTGGACATGCATCAGTTGCTTTCATACAACTCTCTACAATGATGCACGCGCACGCACGCACGCACGCACGCACACACACGCACACACTACGGACAATTTAGCCTACACAATTCACCTGTACCGCATGTCTTTGGACTGTGGGGGAAACCGGAGCACCCCGAGGAAACCCATGTGAACGCAGGGAGAACATGCAAACTCCACACAGAAACGCCAACTGAGCAGAGGCTCGAACCAGCGACCTTCTTGCTGTGAGGCGACAGCACTACCTACTGCGCCACTGCTTCGCCTACTTAAGTCATTACATTTTGCAGGTTATCAACTAGGTTTTGCAGTTTGTACTAATTGTTTAGAGAAATGCATTAACTGTTGTGCAAATGTAAATAGTGTTGAGAGAAATGCATCAAAGCCACTGAGAAAAACTGTAAAATCATGCAGTCTTGGCTTACTAAATACACAAGTCCATTTTTTTTTCCCTTCCATGCATATATGGAGAGAAGTAAGTCCTGTAGGTGTCTTTTCAAGTTGTGTATTTAAAAAGCCATGCTATTTTGAAAAATGTATATAATATCAGTTATCCAAATACTAGCCCTGCTGAAAAATCCAGCTTAAACCAGCCTAGGCTGGTTGGCTGGTTTTAGTTGGTTGACCAGCCTGGTTTTAGAGGGGTGTTGGCCATTTCCAGGCTGGTTTTCAGCCATTTACAGCCTGGTCTTAGCTGGTCAGGCTGAAAAATGACCAGCTTAATCCAGCTAAAACCAGCTTGACCAGCCTGGTTTAAGCTGGACATAGCTGGTTTTGGCTGGGCTCTCAGCCTGGCTAGGCTGGTCAAGCTGATTTTAGCTGGTCATTTTCCAGCCTGACCAGCTAAGACCAGGCTGGAAATGGCTGGAAACCAGCCTGGAAATGGCCAAACCCCTCTAAAACCAGCCTGGTCGACCAGCTAAAACCAGCCAACCAGCCTAGGCTGGTTTAAGCTGGATTTTTCAGCAGGGAGTGCATTTCGACGGACGGACGGACGGAACTGATCTGATCTGATCAGATAGATAGATAGATAGATATATAGATAGATAGAGAGAGAGAGAGAGAGAGAGAGAGAGAGATAGATAGATAGATAGATAGATAGATAGATAGATAGATAGATAGATAGATAGATAGATAGATAGATAGATAGATAGATAGATAGATAGATAGATAGATAGATAGATAGATAGATAGATAGATAGATAGATAGATAGATAGATAGATAGATAGACTGACAGACAGGCTGCATCCGAAATTGTCTACTACTCAGTAAGTACTGCATTTGAATTTAAACGTACTTCTCGGTCGTTAGAAAAGTACGTTGTATACAGTATGAATGTAAGAAGTATGAATGGAAATCAGACTTAATAAATCCGCCATTTTGTCATAGTCACGTGACCTACCTGCGTCAGTTGCGTCGCTTCACTCCCATTTATGAATTCTCTCACGGGGCATCATAGGATAGTGCAGCAGAATCTCGCCAGAAGTAATAAGTCATCCGGGTGCTTCTCACACACTGATTTTCAAATTCTATAAATTCGGACATATTACTTGGCTCGCATACTGATTTCAGTGTACTGTATAATATGGAAGTATGCGGTTTCGGATGCAGCCACAGATGTCTAAATTGTTGTAGCGTTGAAAACACTTTGATTTACTTGCTTAAATTTTGTTAATACAATTATGACAGAGCAAGGTCACTCAAGGTGAACTCGAGGACACTTAAATGATGAATTTATTCATAAACTAACATTTCTTTGACATCCAAATTTCACCATCTGATCCTGTTATGCATCACCACCCCAGTGAATAGAAGCACACAAACAGGCTTCCAGCCCACATACAAACACAATCAGCAGAGATTGTTGCATGCGTGTAATATCCCTGCTTACAATCTTTAAGGATACAGTACATGGCTGTTTCTGTGTGTGAGCGCATGTTTGTGTTTGCATCACAGCTTCATCAACCCTCTCGACCTTCCAGATCCAATCAGCCCAGGTCACAGTCGGCCAGGTGACGGCGCTTTAGATAAACTAATGGCTCTGATTGAACAGATGGATCCTCATAGAAGAATGTTCACCCTTTCATCAAGGCTGAAACTGAGAGGCATATTGATGCAGCCATACAGATGGTGTTTTACCCTCAGCAACAGACTTTGCGTCACATTAGCATTGAAATGGCTTTCCTTTCCAACATGCCTGGTGCATCTTAAAACCAACAGCCTCATATAGCATGGCACACACACACACATATGCAACTCTGTCATTATCTTAATGCAATATTAAAGCTCGCTCCCTTTAGCTGCCGTGTATGGCTTTAATAACTTGGAGTGGGGTTGCAAGCTTGTACGTAATGTGATTTTACTTGAATATGTCGACAATGCATACGTTAACCCATGTTTTTCTATTAAAGTAAGGTCATAAACGGCTTAAGCTAGATTTTTACCCCTTATGCTGACTTCACACAACATGTAAAAGCAATAATCTGCTTTCAGTCTGTTTACAGAAGTGTGATAAATCCCAATGCAATCTCATAGAAATGTGTAGCAATTTGGCTAATCTGTATGAATTTGCACAACCTTGTTTTTTAGCATTTGCTCAATCTGCAATGGGTTTGGGTATACACACTTCCTTTTAAAAGCTGTATAACCATGACTTGGTATGAACTATCCACTTTTATAACTATCAGATCAGACTGAATATGACCCAGAAACGTGTCCTTATAGTGGATTTAAGCACATCCAAACCAAACAAATACACTCATTTTGCAGTAATGGAGGAGGAAATGTACTGTAAATTCAGGTATTTTCTTGACCCAAGGTCATGTCGAGCAGACATAGTACACATAATATATTGAGAACGTTGAGAACATAACATGAGCTGTAATTGTCCTTTTGACATTTTGCAAAACTGTTCTTCAGTTATATAGCTTTATATAACATGACATTCATTCATTTTCTTTTCGGCTTTGTCCCTTTATTAATCTGGGGTCGCCACAGCGGAATGAACTGCCAACTTATGGGCTAGCGGGGTTGTGCATATTCTTTTAATGAATTATGTATGCTTTTTGAGCATAACGTGCATTGAACCAATCAGAGTCTCATCTCACTATCCCTTTAAAAGTCAGTTGCGTCACGCCATGGTGCAGTTGGTATTTACATGGCAGACTTTGTAAGTGGAAAAACTGAGAACTTTACTAGCGAGAAAACAGTCAAACAGAGCATCTGCAGCACAAGAATAAAGAACAAGCCACCTCCATTCTGCCTCTATACTTTCTCTTTATTTTACTTTTACTTCACTTTTTTACTTTTGTGGATGAGGAAACAGTGTTGTATGCACTCTACTAAAGACAACCATTAGCCTACATAATAAATTTAGCTTGTTAAGCACAAAGATTTGTTTCAATACTATTTATAAATTCAGTTCTAATTTTCAGCAAACAAATAAATGAACAATAATAACGAAGTGTGGTTATATCCAAACACACATCCTATTCTTATGGCCCCCCGATGAGGCATGGAGGCAGTGTTTTTTTTATATCCATGTAGTAAATTATTTTTGTAACATTTTAATCTTTGTTTTCATATGTAAAGATATCTGTGTATTGCTGTACATCCTGTG